TTAGTTGCTGTCCCTTTAAACTTTCGCTTCCGTTCCTCCTTTAGCCAGTTTGCTCCATCCCCGCCTTTCTCCAACGTCGCCTCTGCTCTTCCTCCGCCCTTCTATGTAGGTTCATAGCTATCCCATCACTGCCTTGCTCTTTCTGGCCCCTCCTTTCTCCAGCGTAGCTCAATCGAAGCCTTTCCTCTGTCTCCTCTCCTCCACCCTTCTGTGTTGACTCCGGGTTTCCATGTCACTGCCTCGCTCTTTCAGGCCCCTCCCTTCTCCAGCATCAGCAAGCCGACCTCCGCCTCTCCTCCGTTGCTTCTCCGCCGCCGCCGTTAAAGGGATATTCCTCAATTACACGCAAAAATGCAGCATCACGGCCCGTTTGTAAAGGGAAAAAACCCAAGACAAACAAGACAAAATTAGGTTAGTATCTGCCTATGTGTTTTATAGCCCTCCTAATTATCTAGGTGCTTCTCACTACCTGCTAAGCTTCTATTTTATCTAGCTGCTTCTGGAGAAGTTTACACACACCCAATTCTTTGCAGGCGTTGATTTTAACTTAACCCTACTCTATCTGTTCCTTTAAGCTTCTTTTCGATTAAACTACTTTGCTAAGCTTTCCTTTAGTTGTTTGGTTTTACTTAGCTTCGGTTTCGTTGCTTTCTTGGTTCTGAGACCTTTTGCTTGACTCTGTCGATTCTTAAGGGCTTGTCTGTTGTTTGATGGGACTTCTCGTCTGGGCTCCTATTGTTTTCCACTTCGGGGCTCGTCCTGGGGGGGGGGTCGCTACCCCATCCACCCTTGGGCTAAATGTCCCTTGCCAAGACTCTCTCTCCAGGAGAGTACTTGTGGAGATATAAGTCCAGAAAAAAGCAATAGGTTAGAGCTGGGTGTGAGGAGTGCTCTCTCACATGTCTGCTTTCGGCAAACCCGGAACCGGATCTATCAACCTTTAATTTCTTTCTTATTAACCAAAGCAGTAAGCCTAATTGACTTCACTGTCTCCCAAATTTTCGTTAATCAATCGAGTTCCCAGTAAACTTTGTCTTCCAAAAATTAGCCAAGACCAGCCTTGTAGCTGTTAACAAGTATTTAATCATTTCTGCTATTGATACACCTAGCACCTTAACATAATTTGATTTTTAAAATCTCTGGAATCTTAGGTAGTACTACCCCCAAGATCTTTAATGTAGTATCAGCCACCGTATTCTAGTATCTCTGTGCATGCTTACATGAACACCATATATGTGTGTGTGTGTGGGGAATCAACTTTATCCTTAGAATAAACCTAGCATGCACCTGAGAAATTTGAGTAAATCTTTGATAACCTCCACACCATTTTATAACAATGTTCTCTTAGTCGTAAACTAACTGAAAACAGTGATCCTTCCAAACATCCTCCAAACATCCCAACTTAATATGTGTTTTTTAATCAGCCGTTGGCATATTGAGATCTCTCCTTATATATAATTCTGTTTTGGTCATGGACTTTCCTGAACATTCCACATGCTCCCAAATCAGTTGGCTCCCTAATGTGTCACAAGGTGTCTCTATCCACTGGCTGCATTGCCTGAGTCTCGCCTCCAATATTCTAAACAGTTTGCTGTTCCTCTCCCCCCAATAGCCAGTTGGAACACAGAGGTCATTTGCATATGCGGCCTGATCGGCCTTTGCTTCTAACTTTCTAAACAGTTTGCTGTTGCTGTTGGGAGTAATTGAATGTGTCCTGAGGTAAAATACATATCCTAATTTCCCCTTAAACAGTCACTGGAGTTGCCAAAATACATATCCCAATCTTCCCTTAAACAGTTACTAGAGTTGCCAATCTCCCTGTGGGGCCTGGAGATCTCCCAGAAATCACCGTGTTCCCCAGCCACAGCACATCATTTCTCCTACAGAAAATTTCCCAGCTATTACAATGGCTGCTTTGGGCAGTGGACTCTATGGCATTATACCCTGCTGAAGTTCCTCCTCACCCCAAACCCTAGCCCTCCCCAGGCTCTATCCCTCAAATCTACAGGTCTGGCCCTCCCCTTAGTATTGCCAGCCTCCAGTCAGCACCTGGAGATCTCCAAGATCAGTTCTCCTGGAGAGAATGGCTGCTTTGGGCAATGGATTCTATGGCATTATACCCTGTTGAGGTCCCTCCGCACTCCAAACCCTGCCCTCCCCAGGCTTTACCCCTCAAATCTACAGGTCTGGCCCTCCCCTTAGTCTTGCCAGCCTCCGGGCAGCACCTGGAGATCTCCAAGATCAGTTCTCCTGGAGAAAATGGCTGCTTTGAACAATGGACTCTATAGAATTGTACCCTGCTGAGGTCCCTCCACACCCCAAACCCTGCTCACCCCAGGCTCTACCTCTCAAATCTACAGGTATTTCCCAACCCAGCGTTGGCAACCCTGTAACTGGCTATGGAACCACTTTCCAGACCCTTGGAACCCAGAAGACATGGCATAGGAGGTGGTGCTTTTCTACCTTAGCTGCCACTGCATGACCCCAAATCAACATAAGTCAGGGGTGGAGGGAACCATACCTGTTACCATGAGGTTGTCCTCCCATACTACCCACTTGGGGCAGCAAAATGCCTTGAGACAGCCCTGCCTTATAGCTAAGCAGAAGGAAATAAATAAGACTTGCCTCCCTCTTTTTTCCCCTTCCCTCTTCTGCCCCACCAGCCACAGCCAGGACACTCACCTGGAGATTCCTTCTAGAGCTTATCTTCCCACAACAGGCCTTACTCCTAGTAATGGTATATTGGTATTTATATATTTATGTTATTTATAGTTTGCTTTTCTCACTGGGACGCAAGGTGGATTACACAGAGTGAGTCAATACAATTAACAAGATGGGACATTCAATAAACAGTGAAATAGGGTTTAGGTTGTAGAACCAACCAGAAGCAAAGCATAACTATTAACTATTAATTAACTAATGCAGTTCCGCTGGGCCTGTAAAACAGAGTTGTTTCACCAGACCTATGGTTGAGGACAGCGATGATTTGTCAATCTTAGATTGGCATCCCTTTCTCCTCCCTCCTTTTTCCCTCTCCCCTTTCCCCCACATTAGGCAGACCTCAGGATATTTTTCCCTACCTGGATTTTACGCCATCTATTAGCTCTGTCAGAGTTGCTATTTTATTGTATTTATAGTGTTATGGAATTATTTGATGTTTTAATTGTTTGAATGTTTTTAAGACTGTTGTAACCCACTCTGAGCCCTGTTGTATAGGGGAGGTGTATAGAAATATTGTTTCTAAATTCTCATGCCTTCTTCCTGTGATGACATTCTGTGTGTCTTTTTCCTGCTGCAGGCCAGATGGCCTAGTGTGATTTCTGTCACTTGACCAGATGGCTGAACCACCAAATAGCCATGCCATATAATCATGCCAGATACCCACATTCCTTAACACCTCTCTGCTGAGGGCCAGACTTGAAGGCTGCTCTTGTATGGCCTACATGGGCCATGTCACGTACGCAATGGAGAAAGCTGGAAGTGTCAACCTCCATGTGTCCTATAAGTCTGGCTGTAGATCATATCAATCTGTTTGACAGGAGCTGACAGCTCAGAGTGTCAGTAGAGCTGGCTCCAACTGGTTCTGTCTAGTTGATAGCAGAGCTAATTAACAGTGACTCAGCATTGGGTCCTGATTGGACAATGCTAGTATAAGTATGATGCTGTACTGTGTACTATACCTTCCTGATGGAAACCTGGTGTCTGCATGAGCATTTTGTCGTTCTGTGCAATATATTGGTGGAGGCGTGTGTGAATAAATTGTATATAGTTTTACACCAAGCCTATAAGACTTACGTCTTCTTTGATACTCTCACATGACTCGCAACCTGCAGTGGGCTAGCACCGCGCAAGCCTCTAACTTCTTAGCCAATCCCCACCCATCTGATGTTGGCAGCTATGGCAACCAGAAATTGGGCACACCCCCCTGCCGCTCGTGATTGGCTGATGGCCACAGCTGATGGTGACTGGCATGGGGGTATAACTCTGTGGTTCTTTAGGGAAGAGCTCTCTTGCTTCTGGGATCCTGACTTTTGAAACAAAGAGCTTCTTTGTGAACTGACTGCCAGTTGCCAACCTTCTGTTACTGTGGATCTGTATCTCTGAGCAGTCCTGGACTATATACCTGCACAAGATGGGATTTCTCTTCAAAATCCCTTTGTGCCAACCTGCACTGTTACGCACTGGACAATCTTGGACTACCTGATGCTATACTTAACTCGGTAACTATGGTTATTATTAATGTGCAGTAAGGGCAAATAGCCATAGGTTGTTATTATTTTTGTATCCTCTATTAGTCTCTTGTTATGCTTTGCACTGAATAAAGATCATTCATATTTGTAATTGTCTCTGATGCGGTAATTGAGCTCCAGGGCTAAATCTCGTGTCTAAGCGCTGACCACAGAGCTACCACTGTGACACCTCTGAGTTAGAGTTGCTGATGTGTTCAGTCCCAGATGCCAGCTGAGAGATTGAATCTCTGCTCTTAGGCTGGGTGGGGACCCCTTGGAAGAGATTCTGGTGGCAAACTGTTGTGAATTCTAGACAGAGTACAGACTGTCTCGTGGATTTTGTTTCAGGTGCTGAAATATAGGGTTCCCTCTCACCCCTGGACTGGGCTGAGTGGGTTTGATCCTGTACAGGAGGGTGGGCTATAAATCAAATAAATAAATAAAATAATGCAAAATTACGTAATAGTATCCAATTTACAGCAAACTGTACACAGTAGTATGGACCCCAATTCCTAATAATCTAGATAGCCAAATCAGCCTTCTCCAGTTAAGGGGGTTACATCAATTGCTGGTTTAAAAAAATATTGGGAAAAGCTCCTAACCTGCATAATGCATGTGGGGAGATGGCCACCATAGGGACCAGAGCAGGGGAAGTGAACGGAAGGCTGTTATCTTAAAGCCCCATTTCACTGGCACCAGGGCTTCCTTAGGGAAGCATTGCTATGTGGAGAAAGGCCTCATTGTGTCATGTGCACATCTTAATTCTTTCAGTTGAACTGGACAGAGATATCTTCTATCAAAAGCCGTACTGGAAGGAGTTCAGGTTCGACTTAACCCAGATCCCAACAGGGGAGTCTGTAACAGCAGCTGAGTTCCGCATTTACAAGATGCAGAGTGTCACTCGCCATATCAATCAAACCCTGCACGTCAGCATTTATGAGATTGTCCAAGATCACCCCAACAGGTACAGCAAAAGTAATATTCTCAATCTGGCTAATAGGACCATGTGAATTAATCCCATTCCCAACATTTAGATCACAGAAGGGCAGTCAGCCCCAGTCCACCAGGAAGTATTCTTATGCATGTTCTCCTGAAATGGCTGAGCTGTGTTCTCATGCATCTCCCATTTTACACCCCTGCGTTTGCACCTGAGAAATTCCTGATGTATTAATTCTAACAACTCCAACTATCATTCTGATAATTTAAATAAGGGTGCAGGGTCCCAAATCCAAAATTGGGTTGCCAACTTCCAGGTGGAGCCTGGAGATCTCCTGGAATTACAGCTGATCACCAGACAACATAGATCAGCTCCCCTGGAGAAAATGGCAACTTTGGAGGGTGGACTCTATGGCATTATACCTCTCTGAGGTCCCTCCCCTTCCCAAACCCCACCGTCCCCATGGCTCCACCCCTACATCTCCAGGAATTTCCCAGTCCAGAGCTGGCAATCCTAGCTCCCATAAAATTCCTTAATTACATGAATTTTCCTAGTAAAATATAGGGAAGAACTAATATGCCATACCAAGATAGGGTTATCATAACATGTTATAAAGCTACACAATGCCATTACACCCCCATATTCTCCCCGCTCAGGGTGTGAACTTGTGAAGTGGAGGGAGCCCCAAGTGAGGCTGTAAGAGGAGGAGTGGGGGCCCAGACACCTACAGAGCAGGCAGTAATAAAGAGTGCCAGTATTAGCCTCCTCAGGAGAAAAGGCTGTCTTGTCAATAAAGGCTTACTCAAGGGAGCCATGGATTGGGAGTGGCAGGAGAAAGGGGAATGGAAAGCCAAAGGGAGGAAACACAGGAGGAGGAGGAAGAAGAAGAAGAATCATAAAGTTGGAAGGGATCTCCAGGGTCATCTAGTCCAACCCCCTGCACAATGCAGGAAATTCACAAATACCTCCCCCTCCACACCTCCAGTTACCACCATTCCACACCCAGAAGATGGCAAAAAACCTCCAGGTTCCCCAGCCAAACTGGCCTGGAGAAAAATTGCTTCCTGACCGAAGGGGTGACCAGCATTTTCCTGGGCATGTAAGAGAGGGCCACAAGAACTAAGCACTGAGGCAACCCTTCCTGCCCTTCCTCTCATAATATGCCTAAGTTCACAGCACCAGCATTGCTGTCAGATGGCCATCTATCCTCTGTTTGAAAACCTCCAAAGAAGGAAAGCCCACCACCACCCGAGGAAGCCTGTTCCACTGAGGAAACATTCTGACTGTCAGGAAGTTCTTCCTAATGTTTAGCTGAAAACTCTTCTGATTTAATTTCAGCCTGTTGGTTCTGGTCTGACCTTCTGGGGCAACAGAAAACAGCCCTTCAAGTACTTGAAGATGGTTATCATATCACCTCTCAGTCGTCTCCTCTCCAGGCTAAACATACCCAGCTCCTTAAACCTTTCCTCATAGGACTTGGTCTCCAGACCCCTCACCATCTTCGTTGCCCTCCTCTGGACATGTTCCAGCTTGTCTATATCCTTCTTAAATTGTGCTGCCCAAAACTGAGCACAATACTCTAGGTGAGGTCTAACCAGAGCAGAGTAAAGTGATACCATCACTTCACGTGATCTGGACACTATACTTCTGTTGACATGGCCCAAAATCACATTTGCCTTTTTAGCTACTGCATCACACTGCTGACTCATGTTCAGTGTATGGTCTACTAAGACCCCTAGATCCTTTTCACACATTCTACTGCCAAGACAAGTCTCCCCCATCCTATAATTATGCATTTGATTTTTCCTACCTAAATGCAGAACTTCACATTTATCCCCCTTGAAATTCATTTTATTTGTTTTAGCCCATTTTTCCAGCCTGTCAAGATCATCCTGTATCCTGACCCTGTCTTCTACCATATTTGCTACCCCTCCCAATTTAGTATCATCTGCAAATTATTAAATTTGCATTCCCTCTATTCCTTCATCCAATCATTTATAAAGATGTTGAACAAAACAGGTCCCATGACAGATCCTTGAGGCACTCCACTTGTCTCTCCTCTTCAAGAGGATGAGGAACCATTCACAAGCACTCTTTGGGTGTGAGCTGTCAACCAGTTACAGATCCACCTAACAGTCATAGGATCCAAACCACATTTTACCAATTTGTCAATAAGAATATTATGTGGAACCTTATCAAAAGCCTTACCGAAATCAAGATAAACTATGTCTATAGCAATCCCCTGATCCAGCAAGGTAGTAACTTTCTCAAAAAAAGAGATAAGGTTAGTCTGACATGACTTGTTCTTGAGAAACCCATGCTGGCTCTTAATAATCACAGCCATCCTTTCTAAATGCTGTCTGTTTGATTATTTGTTCTAAAACTTTCCCAGGTATAGACATCAAGCTGACGGGTCAGTAGCTACCCACATCCTCCTTTTTCTTCTTCTTGAAGATGGGGACAATATTTGCCTACCTCCAATCTTCTGGCACCTCACCTGTTCTCCAAGATTTCTCAAAAATAATGGACAGAGGCTTAGAAATTACATTCATGAGCTCTTTTAGTACCCTTGGATGCAGTTCATCTGGCCCTGAGGACTTCGTTTCATTTAAAGAAACTAGGTATTTATATACTACCCCAATGCTGATCCTAGGCTGCAGCTCTCTTTCCTCAACATGTGTTCTGTTTTTGCCATATTGAACACTGTTTCCCTCACAAGAGAAAACTGAGGAAAAGTAGGATTTGAGCAGTTCTGCCCTCTCTTCATCACCTGTTACAATTTCACTTTCCTGTCCCCACAATGGGCCTACCATGTTCTTGCTCTTTTTCTTACTTTGAACATAAGGAAAGAACCCTTTGTTGTTGTTTTTAGCATCTCTCGCTAGCCTAAGCTCATACTGAGCTTCACCTTTCCTAACTCTTTCTCTACAAGCACTGGTTATTTATTTATATTCAACCTTGGTTATAAGGCCCACATTCCACTTTCTAAATGAGTCTTCTTTATTTCTCAAGTCTTTAGAAAGCTGTTTATGGAGCCACCTTGGCTTCTTTAGGCTTTTCCCATTTTCCCTTCTCCTAGGAATAATTTCTGATTGTGCCTTCAGTATTTTGCTTTTAAGAAACTCCCATTCCTCTTGAACTCCCTTCTCCTTAAGTATTTCTGACCATGGGATTCTACCCAGCATAACTTTAAGTTTGTCAAAATTTGCTTTCCTGAAGTCCAACCTGTATGTCAGACAACGTATAGTTTTTACCTTCCCCAAGACTGTAAATTCCAAAATTACATGCCCACTACTTTCACCTCATCAACCAGTTCTTCCCCGTTGGTAAGAATCAATTCCAAGATAGCAGATCCCCTTGTTTCCTTCTCCACTTTCTGGAAAATGAAGTTGTCAGAAGGAGGAGGAGGATTTATACTTCACCCTTCACTTGGCGTCTTAGAGCAGAATCTCCTTCCCTTCCTCTCCCCACAACAGACACCCTGTGAGGTAGGTGGGGCTGAGAGAGCTCTGAGAGAACTGCTCTTGAGAGAACAGCTCTGAGAGAAATGTGACTGACCCAAGGCCACCCAGCTGGTTGCATGTGAAGGAGTGGGGGATCACACCCAGTTCTCCAGATTAGAGTCCGCCACTCTTAACCACTACACCAAAATGGCTCTCAGGAATACAGTGTTGGTAGAACAGGAATATAGTGTTGCCAGCTCTGGCTTGGGAAATTCCTTAAGATTTCAAGAGGGCGCCTGGGGAGGACAGAGTGTGGGAAATGGAGGGAACTCAGCAGGGAGGTCCTACTGCCATTCCAAAGCTGCTTTTTCCTCCAGGGGAACTGATCCCTGTAGTCTGGAGATCACTTGTAATTCTGGGAGAATCCCAGACGCGACCTAAAGGTCAGCAAACCTGGAAGGTGGACAGCTGGAAGGTCTGGGAGGCCAGAAAGGCCCAGAGAGGTGGCATTACTGGCCAGGAAAGCAGCAGGTACTCTTTTGCAGGGCCTTTTTGTCACAGTAGTCCCTGGTACAGAGTCCTGGATTTTTTACAGGGCTCTTTCTAGTCCTGATCCTCCTGTGCCAGCCTGCCCCACTGAGGCAGAGAAAGAAAAGCGGACCCTCAGGAACAGCCCAGTGGGGATCTGCAGAGGGAGGGGAGAACTGGCGGAAAGTGTCCCAACCTCATAGACGAGTACCAGCACCTTAAAAAAATAAAAAGCACCTTGCCCACCCTAAGGCCTAACCCCGTGGTAAGGGGGTAGCAAGTAGAAGCGTCAACTGAGGTTATCATGGGCAGGAGGACTAGGGCCTGATGGAGGCAGGTGGAGCCATGACTGCCAGCTCCAGTTCGGGAATTTCCTGGAGACATGGGGGGGGGGGGGGGGGCCGGAGAGGGTAAGGTTTGGGGAGAGGAGGGGCCTCAGTGGAGCGTAATGCCACCGTCTGCCCTTTAAAGAACTCTTTTTCTCCAAGGAAGCTGATCTCTGTAGTCTGGAGATCAGTTATTATTATTCTGGGAGATCTCCAGGCCCCACCTGGAGGCTGGCAGTCCTGTGTGGAGACAATAAGGGGACAGGGAGTTGTACAAGCTGTAATCAGCTGTTTGAGCCCAGGACTGTGTTGTGCAAAGCAGCAATAAGCCACAACCTTGCCTCCCCCCCCCCCTTCCTGATCCTGCAGAGGGAGGGCACCCGAGGAGGGGGACGCAGGCTTCACACATGCCCACAGATATTGGCAGAACAAAAGAATGAAGGTGTTCGGGGTAGGGTGGAGGCATCAGGTTACAAGAGGTTTCTGCTGCTAAAGAAAAATAATAAAAACGTAACTGCATCCTGGTAAACATATCCTGGAGATGGCCAATGTCATGGTTCTGATTTGTTTTCTAAAAGCCAAATGTTTTTAATCTTATGTTCTATATCAAGCATGAGCCCCAGGCATTTTCACCCCCCAAGCAGTTGCCCCACATGTTCTGAGAGGTGCACTCAGATTGGGTTCTTATGGGTCATGCACATGCTACTTCACTGGGGCCAGGAGGTCACTGGTGTTCCCAAAAGCCTATTTGGGTTGCTTGTGTAAGGCCTGTCCATGCCTCCCTTGTTCCAAGTGGACTCTCCTGTATTTGTTCATTCAGTTAAGTAAGTTTTTTTGCGGGGAGGGGGAAAATGTGTCTTCAGAGGTCCATGCATAAGATTTTTTCCAAAAATGACCTTTCTTAGTTTTGTTTTGAGGGGTGGAAACAGAGATAACAACATTCATGTTCCATTTCAGTTGCCTGCACTCACCTCCTCTCTCTGCTGCTCTAGAGAATCGGAGTTACTCCTTTTGGATCTGCAGGATTTTCTGGCTGGGACAGAGGGCTGGCTGGCTTTTGATGTCGCAGCTGCCAGTAATCACTGGTTGTTAAACCGCAAATACAACCTGGCCTTGAGACTTTACGTTGAAACGGATGCTGGTAAGCCACCCCCTGCATGTGCCACTAAAGGCATTTCTCAGCTCCTCCTCTGCTGATGTAAGTGTATAGAAACTACAAAGGCAGTTCTGAATGTATGAACACCAGGCATGTGAGTCAGCTAACGGCTTATTAGGAAGATGGATTCCCAGCTGCCTGTGTGATTTTGCACTTAGATGTCCAGGCAAAAACAAAGGCTCCATTCCAAGATGCCTACACTACCAGCAAAGCAAAAATCCCTGTTCCTGGTGCAGTGATGCAGGACAGTTTCAAAGATGTTTATGTTAAGTATTCCCCCTTTTTGGGAATTATAGACAATCTCCCCTTATGGTCGCCAGTTTGTCAACAAGAAATAAAAACCCATATAGCCTGCTTTAAAAACAGAAAGGATGGAATACCTGCTGAAGTTTTAAAGGAGAATGTAGATTGGTGGGGGCAGTTTTTGGCAACCTTTTTTACTTACGTCGACCAAACCGGCCAATTCCAAAGCAGTGGGGAACTGCTATAGTGGTCCCAATCTTTAAGAAGGGCAATAAAAATAATCCAGCAAATTACAGACTTATAAATCTATTAAACATCATTAGCAAAATATGCACAAGACATTTCCTTGAGAAAATAGAAACATGGCTGGAACAAGAAGAAATTATCCCATTAGAGCAAGCAGGCTTTAGAGCAGAAAGGTCAACGACTGAGCATTGTTTAGTGTTGCAACAGCTAATTGAAAAATATGCTGCCAAAACCCCACCTCTTTGTATGCTGCCTTCATTGATTTGAAGGCTGCTTTCGATTCGATCTCAAGACAAAGATTATGGCAAAAACTTGAACATTCCACCATAAATAAAAGACTGCTTTATCTTGTTCATGCCTTACATGAGGAGTCATACCTCAGAGTGAGATATAATTCAGAGGGCTCACTTACTAATCCAATAAGGACATTTAAGAGATTTAGGCACGGTTGCCTTCTGGCCCCTATACTATTCAACGACTACATTAGCGATATGGTGAAACACATGACAAATCCCAATTTCTACCCACCAAAGCTTGCTTACCACCTACCGATTCTGCTATATGCAGATGACGCGGCCCTACACTACTAGGATTACGAAGGGCACTAGATTGTTTCGCAAAATACTGTGAGAAAGAACACCTGGTGATAAACTTTGATAAAACAAAAACAACAAATTTATTCACAGCAAAAAGCCAGCACTCTAATACAACAAACTAACTCAAACTAAATTCATATAACCACAAGCATAATTGAAATATATAAAATGAATATCAAATAGAGCATGCCTGTAAATATAAAACAAAAGTGATGACATTTGGTAGACATCACAAGAAATATTTGTGGACAATAAAAGGAAACAAAATTGAGCAAGTAAATAAATTTGTTTACCTGGGCGTGGCCATTCAGGACTCGGGAGCTACCTCAGCACACTGTAATATGAGGGTGGAAAAAGCTGAGAAAACAGCACATGCTATCTTGAGATTTTATCCATCTAAGGGAGGGCTGTATGTTCCCGCAGCATTGAAGTTGTTTCAAGCTAAAGTAGTAACGCATCTCCTTTATGGTCTCTACCTGGGCATTTCTGCCACTAATTCATGTGCTCTTGAGAAGGATCGATCCAGATTCATTTGCAAGGTTTTACAGGTTCCTCCGGGGGTGCTGAATGCCCTTCTACGCCTAGAAACTGGTCAAATGAGAATAGAAGCCAGGGTGTTGTTATCCTCTGCATATCAATGGCTCAAGATTAATTCAATCCAAAAAGAACTTTTCCCCCTAATAAACAAAGATCCCTATCAGCCAAGGTGGATTCAAATTACCAAGTCTAATTTAGAAAAAACAAGAGGGGGACCCGCGATACTCGCGGGGGGGGAGAGAAGAGCCCCGTCTCCTCCATCCCCCCCATCTCCCCGAGGCGGCGGGGGCGGCGGCAGCGGCAAGGCCGGTGTTCGCCCCCCCGAGGCCGGTCTTCCCCCCCCGCCC